CCTCCCACCCCTCCCACCACGCCCGCCCCCGCGATCGCCGCCGAACGTATCGGTCGAATCGCGATCGTTCTGCTTGGAGCGGCGTCCGCCGGAGGCGCCGAAGCCGAATTTTTTGTCGCGCGCGTGGCGCGGGAGGGATTTTTTGTCGCCTGTTGGGAGTACATGTCAGTCATGGTATATGTAAAGTAGAGGGGGTGGGGGTGAGGTGGTAAGAAGAGAAAACGCACCGGGACCTGCTTTTGAGCGTTTTGCGGGGCGGTCGGCGAGCGCGTCTTCGACTGCGACGTCGAAATCTTCGCCGCCGTCGGGGTCGAGGGCGTTCTTGCGCTCTATACAAGCTATCAGTACCGCTGTAGATTGATAAGCCAGAGTGAAAGCACGTACTGCGCTTGAGCCCCTTAACCCTCTCCTCCATCTCCTTCCTCGCCGCGACCCTCTCCTTCGTCCGCTCAACCTGCACCTGCTTCCCAAACTTCTTCCCCTCCCTCATCCGTCTCGCCTCCTCGCTCTTCTTGATCCCCGCCTGCTCGTCCAGCAGCCTGCTCCTGATGCGCTGCATGTGCGCGTCGCTCTTGACCATCTCCGCAAAGTAGTCCGCGGGGCGCGTAAAGGGGAAGTTATGTTGAGATGCGAGGGATTTGGCGGCGGTGGCGGAGTGGAGGGCTTGGCGGTAGAAGGAGAGTTCGCGGGCGAGGTCGTCGGAGGGGTCGAGGGTGGAGTGGGTTTGGGGGTACGTTGTTGTGAGGGTTTCGGTCCAGGGGAGGGTGGAGGGCAGGGCGATGGTCTCGCGGATGCGGTCGAGCGCGACCTGCGGAGTATACATATCAGTACCGATGTAATGAAGCAGGAAGAGGAAATATATATACGTACGGTGTTGTTGATCTGGATCTTCTGCTTGGGAACGAGGTCGACGACGTCCGAAGCGATGCTCACGTCGTCGCCGTCAAGCTCGACGCCTTCCTCCTCGTCTTCATCTTCCTCGGCGCCTTGGCCGTCCTCTGCAACGGCAGAGCCTTCTTCATCCGACTCAGCCTCCTCGTCCGACCCAGACGCCTCATCCTCATCATCGCTACCTTCGCCCGCGAGTGCACCGAGCTGTGCCTGCTCAAACTCGTCGAGTCCGTCGTCGCCGAGCGCGTTCATGAGCCGAGCCATACCCTCCTCGTCCACACCGTCCTCGTCGCTGTCCTCTTCCTCCTCACTATCGTCACTCTCGCTGCCAGCATCCTCGCCAACGTCAACTGCCAGCTCCTCATCGCCATCCGAGTCGGAATCTTCGTCCGAGTCGTCATTTGCACGCTGCACAACTTTCGGCGTCGCTTTTGCGGGTGTAGGCGCGGGCGTGGGCGCAGGGGCCTTTTTCGTTTTGGGTTTTGACGCGAGTAGGGTTTTTGAGCGCGGCATAACAGGATTGCACGCAGTGACGTAGGTTTGGGAAATAGAAGTATAGCGAAGAGTTGTTGAAGTCAAGAGGGAAAGCAGAAAGTCAAGCGCGACGGACGCGGAAAATGATTGATGGGCGGGGTTAGGGTCAGAACACGTTCCAAATCGAAGCCCTGACTCTTGCTCGCAGTACAGTAGACGCCCAACGCCTATTGGCCGCTCAAACTCTTCGCTGAATGGAAGTACGGGGTTCGCATGCCGGATTTGGAAGTGTTCATTGAACGAGCTGCGGCGCGACGCCCGTGCGGCCATGCATCGCTCCGCCGGCGGGAACTATCTACAACAGCGTCGCCATGCAGAACAGGCGCTCCACACCGCTCTCTTTCCCTCCCCGCCACCATAGACGATGAAGCCCCATCCCTTCACTTTTGTCGCTGCTGCGATCGGCCTGTCGACTCGGGCGCTGGCGGTGCCGGCTCAGGAGCCGCTCGTCGTATCTCATCATTCTGCACCACCCGCCGAGGTCGATCTCTCGGCTGGCTGGGTCGACCCGCGCATCCTCGGCGGTCGCATGCTCGACGTGCGCACTCCCCCTCTCTCCATATACTCTCAGACTAACACTCGGAACAGTGGCCCGGCGGCGAACTGGGCGAGCCGCTAAACATCATCGTCTCCGGTCTCTCCGACCCCTTCGTGCTCACGCCCGACGGCTTCCGCGCCTACACCAAATCGATCGGCTACTCCGAAGAGTGCCTCGGCCTGCACTATGGCACCATCCACACCGCAGACCTCGGCGACGGCCTCCGCGCGCGCGACGAGCAGTACCTCGCCCGCCAGCAGTACTTCCCCATGTGGGGGACGTGCTGGGAGAGCTTTGCCGGCGGACACCACTTCAGGGCGTGGAGGCAGAACGGCTCGTTGGCGGACTCTGGCGCGTGGTTCGTCGGCGCGAGCCAGGAGGAGCATAGTAGGAAGAACCATATGATTGTCGAGGATGGGTGGAATAAGGGCCGGGATTGGTTTGTGGAACGCGCGGTAGCGGGGACGCATTGGAAGGGCATCTGGTGGGTCGCCGATGTCGAGTGGAGGGAGGGGCTGTTGGCGCCTGGGCATAAGGGTGCGCTTCAAGTCGGTATTCGTTTACGAATACCAATCTGATTGAGACGTATAGGCATCAACCATGGCATCGCGCAGGACGGGCGCGTCGCCGTGCTCACCGTCCGCCGCGTCTGATCATCTTCGCTTCCTTTCTCCTTCGGCTCCATCTCGCATCTTCCTCGCCCCGCTTGCATTATTGACGACACCTCACGACTTCATGCTCTCATCTCGCCTCCCTCGCATGCATGGGTGTACATTCCATCCTTCTCGTCTATCTATCCGGATCTCATCCTTCCCTTGTATCTTACCCCGTGTGCAATAGACTCTCGCCTCACCTCGTATCCACGTCGCGCTATCTATATCCCTCTCCCCGTCGCTCGCTTTGTATGTACGATACGTTACATCCCTGTATAGATTCGCTTCCCCGTCGGACATTCTCACCCGTTTGCCGCTCAGGAACTCGTTCGTTCGCGCTCACGGGATGGATCATCTCGGCGCCATTGCCTCATTCTGCGCCTTGCGCGCTTCGCGTCCGCGCACGTTCGCTCGCACGATGCTTCGCGGGCGCAATCTCGTCCGCGACAGGCGGCGATATCCATTTGGACGGGCCCTCTTCGCAGAGGCCCGGCCGTGATACCTCTCTCGCCTATCGTGTGGATAGCGGAGTTGCTCAAGTGCGATCGCGAGGCCGTTGACAGTCCTCGCGACTGTAGTCCATTCGTAAGAAAGTCAAATCACTACCCACACTATTCATATCTAATCTCATCTTATCAGCCCCCCATCAGTCACATGTGCATCCAACCACGTGACCCAAGTCTTCTCAAGCTCCCGGCCAAACTCTCGGTTCTCGGTGCCTAGTTGCTATATCCGGTAGTAGCTCGAGTATATATAGGACCGTCTGAATATTTTTTGGATTTTTTCCTTACCCCCAACCTTCATCTTTTGCCTATATTTTTGTGGCATTTTTTGTACTTGTGTGAGTCCGGCGGTCTGTCATGCCGTCCATTGCTGACTTGTGATTTACCTTCTTTTCATTTGGCGCTCCCATTCACCGCTCACTCCAATCGCCACTCACTCTAATCGGCGCGCACTCCAATTGGCGCGCACTCCAACCTGTGCGCACTCCAACCTGCGCGCACTCCAACCTGCGCGCACTCCAATTGGCGCGCACTCCAATTGCCCTCACTCTAATTGGTGCGCATTCCAATTGGCACGCCCTCCAATTGGGGCGCCCTCCAATTGGCGCACCCTCCAATTGGCGCACACTCCAACCTGCACGCACTTCAATCGCCCCTCACTCTAATCGGCGCGCACTCCAATCGGCATGCACTCCAATTGGTGCGCCCTCCAATTGGTGCGCCCTCCAATTGGCGCGCCCTCCAATTGGCGCGCACTCCAATCGGCGTGATTTGCCTTCTTTTCATTTGGTGCTCTCATTCGCCGCTCACTTCAATCACCGCCCACTGCAATCACCACGCACTGCAATCGCCACGCACTGCAATCGCCACGCACTGCAATCGCCACGCACTGCAATCACCACGCACTGCAATCACCACCTACTGCAATCACCACCTACTGCAATCACCACCTACTGCAATCACTGTTCACTGCAATTGCCACTCGCTCCAATTGCCGCCCTCTCCAATCGGCCCTCACTCTAATCGGTGCTCCTCTGCATCCGCTACTTGCCTCTGCCTGGCATGCCCACTCTTGCTATGGCACTCTTGTAATGGCACTCTCCATACTATGCCTTCATCATTATACTCCTACCACCGCAAGTGCTTCTTAAGATACCACATCTAGACAGCACATCTTTAGCCCAGAACAGGACTTATCTGTGTGCAGTTAGTATATACTACAGTATTGTTCTTGCCCACATACATTCTTGCCCGCATACTAACCTGTCATTAGAATATGCCTACGCCGAGCTCCATCGACCAGCAAAACCAAAAGATGGCAGCTAGACAGAATACTTTCAGTGCATACAACCAGGGCCCGCCAGCAGACTCGTGCCTCTTCTCAAGCTATGAGAATTTGGGCAAGAAGTCGCAAGGCACAGCTATCATGAAGGGCCCTTCTACTAGGTATGTGCTGATTAGTAATTATTATGCCACAAAAATAATAAAAATAGCAGCTATTCTGCTCATGAGAGTATTGTGCCTCCCAATGCACCTCGTCTCAAGACGATTCCTCTGCCTCTTATACCACTTGCACCAGGTGAGCTGATATTTTGAGTCTAGTATAGCCTACTCAAGTAACTATAGGGACTGAAGTCCCCAGTGAAGAGAACTTAACACCACCTGGTGCCCCATTAATGAGGAGCATTCCTCTTCCACCAGTTACTGATTCTATGATCTGATTCATGAGAGACTGCATTCTCTAAAGTGGCTTACTTCTTGATGATACATCTATGTGTGACTGGTTATGAAAATGTATAGTAAATCCAAAAATGTGCCACAGACTCGATGCCATCTATTTTTAGAGCTTAGCATGAGAAAATCCGGAGCCAATGTTCCGGACCTTGCCCATTATTTGCATGTATTTGGCCGAGACGGGTATATAAGCCTCCGATCAGAACTTGATTCCGCACCCACCCTTGTCTCAAACCCCCATCTCTCCACTTTTTCCCTGCCCTCCTTCCTCTTTTATCTCAAGTTAATCTGAGTAAAAATATAACATCCCCGTCTGATTAGAGTCTTCTCTGTGTCTTGTTAGTTATCTGCTGTGCCTGTGCTTTCTGATCTGCTCTCTACAACTGCTATCTATACCTGTCTACAGTGCTGTAAGTTGGCTGGTTATACTGCTATAGGTAGCTAGCGGCAGTACTGATTTCACTTTAATAGTTGCAAATGATGTCTGCTAGGCATACTCAACACACATCCCAGTCCAGTGCTACTGCTAGTACACACCCCACCCCTACCAGTTGGCTCACTATTGAGGATGAGCCATCTGACATTGAGGGAGAAGATGAGGAGACAGATGAGCTTATAGCAGATGAGGATGATGTCATTATACTGCAGGTATGCAAGACTTTACATCTACCCATTTATGGGTATAGCATCTGACTATCATTCCTATGTAGCCAGCTACACCCACAAGTGTCCCAAGTGCAACCACAGGCAGAGGTGAGCGTCGGGCCTGTGCACCCGTCGGGATCTTCCCGGTGACACACTGATGCTGACCACCGTGCGAAGCCGCGACACGGTCACGCGGGCCGAACGCGCAGTCGAACTCAACACGCACGGCGACTCGCGCCCCCCACACCGCCATCACCATTGCCGCCCCCACCGCCGTCAACGACTCAGCGACGACGGAAGATGCTGCTGAAAACGCGGTTGCGACGTCCTCGCGCAAGAGCAAGAAGCGCCGTCGCCGCGACAGCGCGTCTGACGTGGGAAACGACCATCAGCGGGCTGTGAAGTTGCAGCGTTCGCGCGCGCCTTCTCCGCCCTCGCTCCCATCCACCAAAGTACAACCTCGGGAAGACGCACCGCCTCTCTCATCTTCCGACGATGCTACTATTGACTCGCGTACGCGTGCATCGGGTTCTGCGGCTGCCAGCACCTCGGCGACTACAACGACTTCGCCGACATCCAACCCCGCTCAGCAACATGCTTCCACCGCGCCCATCTCAAGTTCAGACTCCGTGGCAGTCATTCTGCCTCGTACGGAGAACGGCCTCGCTGCACAGCCGTGCTTCCTGGTGGATCCCATCGATAGGAACGCTATCGAAGCCCAACTCGTACAACTTCTGAACGCGGTGCGATCCCGCAACACCGCGACGTCTACTTCAGCAGTCGCTGAAGCGGTAGAGGATGTCATGGACGTCGACAATATCGTGCAGGATGTAGGCTCGAGCGTCAACGCGCCGCAGACTCCCGCGCCGCGCGAACGCCGCGCGAGCAACACCCCGCAGAACCAACGTTCAAACCCGCGCGGCCATGACGGTTCGTCTGTGGCGCGTGCAATTTCCGTCGAAGACAAAGACGAGGAGGACGAGGATCCGGCATACAATACGCGTCGTAGCCGCATGTTCCTCCGCTCGCTCGGTGCGAGCTACCGTATGCACGGCAATCCGCCGGTGCCTACGACGAGCGCGAACAGGACCGCGTCACCGATTGCCCCGCTCTTTCTGCGCAACTCGGCTACCGTCGTCCCGCACGCGTCTCGTGCGGATACTTGGAATGAGGTGGCGAGGAGCATCTATGGACCTGGTAGCGAGACGCGCGGGTTGACGAAGGTGCGTTCATACCCCTAGTCCGCATCTTTTGTCCTGTCCATCATATCTGACTTTGACTTACAGCCGAAGCCTCCGCGTAAGTCGCGCGTCAAGGTGACCGCCTCGAATGCCGCCTCGTCTGTCCCGCCCAGCGAAGCGATGTCCTCGCGCGCCATATCGGAGAGAGCGTCATCAAGCAGAGCCGGATCAATAGCCCAACCCATAGACGTCGACGCCACGCCCCTCTCGCCCGAAGAACTCCAAGACCAAGCAAACGCCTGGGCCGCCCTCGTCCGCAGCTTCGTCAAAGGCAAAAACACGCGCACGCGCAACCAAGACGCGCTCCTCAGGGCCCTCTGCGACGCGGGCACGACGGAGATGTCGTCGCTCGTGCTCGCGCGGTCCGGGCTGTATGCGGCTGTGCGCGCGTTGGGACAGCAGGCGGCGGGCGAGATGTTTGCGCCGGTTGATGCGGCGCGGGCGTTGGCGGAGAGGTGGGTGGGGGAGTTTGGGGAGGGGGCGCTTGAGGAGGAGGTTTGATGGCATCGTATACGAAAGACTCAGAGGATTTTCCATGCGCTCGATGATAGTGATAGTATCGAAGACTGTTCACCATCGAGACCGGCTGTTATTACGTAGCTTCACGACAACTTGCGGAATTTGGACACAAACCGACGTATAAGAGTGAGATAATGGATACCGAATACATCGATACGACATGGAGGCTACGAGAGGTTATAATCCGCAGGGAGAGATGTACAATAGACTGAGTAGAAATAGGTTTGATGAGTACATGCACGATCTACGGCGCTGACGATCGCTAGCCTATACAATTGATGACGGACGATATTCAAGAACAAAGAATAAACTGTAGGGTTTATCCATATGTAGAGTGGAGCAGAACGCAGACTACCGGATATCATCTTCATGATTCATATTGGGGTATACAGTACGGAGGGCAGCGTGCAACCGTTGTCGCGTGAACCGACCGTGCACAATCGCCACCCATGTGGAGTAGCTCGCCGCGCGCGCTACGTATACAACCTGCGTTTTTGTGCTTGACGTCCGGCAACCTCGAGCCCATCGGACATCGGCGAGTCCCGAGAAGCACCGTCGCTATCTTCGAAGATCTGCGACCGTGTACGCTTGCGCGCAAACCTGGCCGGAGCAGTGGGCTCAGGCGCTGCAGCAGTTGTTGGCCGTAGCACATATGTGGGGGAGTTCTGCAGCGCGTGCGACATGGGGCCGTTGAAGAATGACGGCTCGATTGACGACTCCGGGGGCATGCCAGATACGAGGGTGTCGAACGGCGGCAGGTGCTCGGACATGTGTTGGTGCCCCTCCATGCCGGAGGAGTCAAAGATGGTGGTCGGCGGGTAGTCGTCGAATGAGTCCAACATGGTGGCGGGGGAAGTCCCCTGGAATATATCAGCGCCGAAGTCCATGGGACTGTGGCCGGGCGTGGGGAGCGTGTCTGGCTCGGGCGACTCATCGAACGCTCCCGCGATAAACTCGTCCAGGGGTGTCTGCTCATACGCAAAATCTGTTGGATTATGCATCAGGGGAGGCGTAGCGCGCGGAAGTCTGTGGTGGTGTGCACCTTGCTGGAGAACGTCAAAGACGGCAAGCGCCGCCTCCTCAGGAGAGATTGGGTAGGGGCCGAGGTCTACCGCCGGGAAGTTGATAGAACCTTCCCAGTCTTCGGGAGCCTTGTCGTGCATCGCAGAATACCGTCGGCAAAGGGCGACGAAGTCTAGCTCTGGCTCTGGTTGGGGCTGCTGTTGAGCGAAGCGAGTTGGTACGAGCGAGGGAGCTTTGGGGAAAGACTGAGGGAGGCCATGGTGGGCGGCTAGGTCCGAGAGGTCTCGAGGAGCAGAATGAGAAGATCCGATGCCGGAGTCGACGTGGGCGTTTATCACTTTCACTTCATAATGAGCAGGACCCGGTGACGTGACGTGTACGAACTGGCGTTGCGAGGGTAGACCGGGTTGCCGACCATTTGAAGGTTCACTCGCCGCGGAGGACTCGTTCAAAGGAAGACGCGGGATTTCATTCTGAGGCCCCTGAACGATAACGACGATCCTTTGAATGGTCCGGATGGATTTGTTCACGTTGTCCGGAGAGGGGTCGCTGTCATGTTCATACGTGCGGACAGACTTCCGCGAAGTGTGCGCTTTGGGTCTGTACAATGCTTAGTCAACGCCAAAGGGGTCTAAATTCCGACTGACAGGTGTGAGGGGAGCTGTCGATGAAATGCCTCAGCACGAAGTCCGCGATATGTACCATACGGACGCCCGCATTCAGTGTTGACGCTGAGCGAACAGTGTCAGCCTGAACGATCGAGGGGATCATGGGATGATTCTTGTACCAGATGATTTGCCCATCTTCAAATCGTTCCTCGTTGCCTGTTGAGGGCGTGCGACAGTACGGACAATGGGCCGAAAGATCGCGGACTATGGCACACATCTTGAGGGTGGCACCAGATTTCACGGCATGTGACCATTGCTCAGGTTCAATGAGCAAGGTTGTAGAGTTTCCGAGACCGTAGTCTCGCCTTTGCACATATGAGGCCCCGATGCGACCTTGAAAAGCCTGCAGCAGATATGAGTGGGTCTTCTGAGGAAAGGTTCAGCTTTCGCTCCATCGAAACAGCTACATATAAACTAACTTCCCGGGTTGAGGCTGCATCCTCATCGAGGGTGATGGCATTGCCCAGTAGGTCGACAATCACTATGCTCCCAGACGCCCGGCCCATCGGTCTCCAGAGAAAGTTCCCTTTCCATGAAAGAAGCTTCGACACTAGCTACCTAAGGTAGACCCCCGGAACGCGCGACGCCGGACCTGACTGTATGGTCCTTGCCAACTCCTGGGACGAGGACAGGCCAGGGTCTGTAGAAGCATCTACTTGCACATGGATCAATGAAGGCACAAGCTCTGAGCACGCGCAGCCAACGGCGTACCGGCGATGACCACCGTCAGAGTGGGGGGACCAGTCGGCGGTGCGGAAACACGTTCCAACAGAGTTTGAACCATGTTGAGCAAGGAGGTATCTGTAACGCGCAGATTGAGGACAAGCGACCCTAAGAGCTTGCTCAAGCATACTTTGTTCTTGTATATTCGATGCCCCCGCTAAAAGGACTTGCGTAGCAGCCTCTGTGCGCTCGTGCATCGGCCGATCATCGTGTATATTGCGAGAAAGGCTTGCAAGGGAGGTCTTCACTGTGAACGTCGATGAGGTCATGACGTACGAGGAGATAGATATTGTGCGGGCCACATACCGTCTTGCACGTCCGCTGATAGATGATGCATACCCGCGATCAGTTCGGCGATGGCCATTCTCTCTTCCTCAGTCGTCACGTCCTCGAGTGCCTCCAACGCCTTCTCAAGGTCATCGGATTTGGTGAAAAGGGCGCCCAGGAAGTGTCCTAGCACAGCCTCGTGAGAATCGGGATGGAACACAGCTGCCTCGGACATGACGTACGTATGCGGCCCTTGCGTAGCATCACGGTGGCGAGCTCGAATGTCTTCAACATCTCTATCAAAGCTTTCACAGCTATCTCTGTCGACTCTACTGTTAGAGGCACTCTAACCCGAACCTGCAATCGTTCGACGTATACACAGAAGCGGTCGAATAACTTCTCAAGATCGTCGTAAGCTGTGCTTACTCGACCAGCAGCCTAGGGTAATGATGAGCTCCAGATATGATGTGAGAGCAGACACGGACTCGCCTCCAGCAAGATAGCAACAGCAGCAAATATCCCTTTTCCTCCGGGGACACCCTATAACCCAAGCTCAAACCAGCTTCCGGTCATTATAAGTGAATCGACTCACCAGTGATGATGCTGTTTCGGCACTTGCGTCGAGGAGTACGAGAAGCCCGGTGACCAGCGGTTTCAGACTCTGCCTAAAACGGTGTGCCCTTTGGCTGCCTCGACGATTGTCGCTAAGATGGGCCGACGCCAGCTGAAGCTTGTCAAGAAGGGTATCGCTGGTAGTTGGATAGCTAAGCTCCATAAAAAGACTGAAATTCTTGTTGTGCGCATCAAGACCAAGGGAGTGCAGATATCGCTCGAAGGCGGTATTCCACAGGTCACTGAGGCTTTGACCGTGACCGGCGGGCGGAGTCTCATGTGGAAACGAATTGGTGATAGCTTTTGGAATGCAACCGGCCAATGCGCGCCTGAACATGATGGGGAGGGAGAGAGAGGTGCTATTCGCACGTCCACCTGTGAGCACAGCGTTTATGCGGCATGTGGACAGCGCGCTTATTGGCAATGATTGAATAGGCAACGCTTGGGCCAGTCCTTGACCGATCAATGACATTGGAAGGAGTCTATCACGCATGAGTACTGAGGATGAGCATTGATACGATAGGAGGGATCATGGTGGTGTTGAGGCTAGCCCAGTTGCCGTCCATCCGCTCAGCGCTGACCGTGTGAAAAGGCGATACACCGCATGGCGGCTCTATGGCGATTAAAATGTTGAACGACAACGTCGATGGCGCCTATCTCATGAGCCTGTGATAACCCCAATGTATATTCACCTTCGACATCTCGCACAGATGACAGTTCTCGCAATGCATAAACTCGCAACGCGGCCTGCAGCACCAAGCAGAACCGCTGCGTCATGTTTTTGCGACCTAGACGTAGCTCGCTGGTGCGACCTGCCCCTCGTCGCCTGGCAGGCCTCGCAACTTCGCGCGTACACTCTCCCACCTCTCTCATCTGCTATTCAGTCACCAAGCGCCCAGTGATTTTCGGACCACCACCCGCCAAGATGCGCTTCTCAAAGCTCTGTGCGACAGAGAACGCTTGTGCTTGCGCGAACGGGGTTATATGCGGCCGCGAGGCTCTGCGAGGGCGTGGGGGGAGTAGAAACGTGCGCGCCTGTTGATTCGGCGCGCGCGCTGGAGGAGAGATGACTTGAGGAGTCCGGGGATGACTTGAGGAGGAAGTTTGAGATAGTTTGGAATCATTCGCGAAGGAATCAGAGGATATGGGTACCCTAGTACATTTCGGAGAGCTCAGCATACAGTAAGTATCATGTCATGTCGACGGGTCGCTTTCGCTGTAGTACATAGTGACAACATGCAGATACCATGATGGCGACTAATCGATGGCACCTGCGGCAGCCTCTACAGACATACGAATGCTACTGGGAGAGTCGAGGAGTGTAGTAGATGGCTACGGATTGTCATGCCATGCAAGAAAAGAGTATCTGGATAGACGGAAGACGCTTGCATATAGACTCATGTATGACCATGGCAACAAAACAGAGGGGAGACTGGGGTAGAGCGAGATCAACAACGAATAACATCAAGAAGGGCTATGGAGAGAGGAATCGGCGACAGGCGATGCAGATGCCATATGAGAAGGAAGTGCTCTCAATGCAGACGTTCTCTTCTCGGTCCCGGTTCCAATTCATACTGTCTGACGTGCACCGGATGACAGCGGAGGTGCCGCATAGGAGGCCGGTGATCGTGATCGTAGCCTACTCATGTGGTTTACCGCGAAGTACGCGCACAAGCGATTCGAGTTCGGCGATGCGTGCGCGCAGGCGTGACGTCTCTGCCTCTGTCGGGTCGAGTTGCGCCGCTGGATGATCTTCGACCTCGTACGCGCACAAACCCGTGAAGTTCAGACGGACACAGTGGGAACATGGGCGCTTGCGGTCGCACTGCGAGGAATGTTAACAATACTGGTTGCGAAGTCAGGAGGGAACAGGACGCGCCTCGAGATTCGCAGTGTGACAGTTCAGACATCGCCGAGAGACGGCATCACGCCTGCAGTTCTGCTCGTCGAGGTCTTGAAGTAGTGGCGATTCATTGGTTGATCGGATGATGACCATGATCCTTTGGATGGCGCTCCGTGATCCGTCCTCAGACTTCGGGAGAGAACCACCGGGACAGGGCGTATCAAGTGAATTCTGTGGATCCCTACGTGTGAATCAGGATCTAGCGCACGGAAAGAGGCATGTTCGCATCGCATTCACGTGATGAACAGCAACTGGGTGGCCTCGGGCTTTGCTTCTCGGAGTGTTTCGTAGGGGCGCCCACAACGTTCGTTAGAACTGCTCGCGTGTCAGCCTGAGAGCACAGATGAGTGGGCAGCTATAGCCAACTTACCAGATGATCCCACTGTCCCCGCATCGCGACTCGTCGCTTGTCGATGATATCCCGCAGTACGGGCAGCGAGGCACCAAGTCGCGGACGATGGCGCTCATCCTCAGTGTTGCGCCCGGTCTCACAGACTTCGACCATTTGCTAGGTTCGATGTAGTTTTTGTTGGAGTCTGCGAGACCGTATTCCCTCCGCTGCACATACGAGACCCCCACGCGCCCCTGGAATGCTTGCAACAAGAAGGCGTGAGTGGTCTGAGAATGGTATTCAGCCGCGGCTTCGATGACTACGCTTTGTACCCAGCGAGGGGATTCACTGACCTCCCAGGAGGTGAATGTATCACCATTCAAGGTGATAACGTCTCCGAGCATGTCCACAATGACTATACTCCCAGACGCACGGCCCAGGGGTCGCCAAATACAGTTGTGTCTCCAGACGATGAGGAGCAAGATGGACAACCAGGCGGTCGGCATGACCGCTCCGGCAACTTCGGCCGAGTTGAGGCCGGTCAAAGACTTGCTAACGTTGCTGTTGACGACATCAATTGCCAGGGAGATAAGGATGGAAAGCCCGCGTAAGAGCACATCTTGGTACTCGTGTCTGAATCTGGAGGTGGCATACGCTATCAGGGAGATGCATGACGATGGGCCCGCGCGCGTTGTAGTTGAAGATGATACTAGATGCCGTGATGTTGCGTTGCAAAGGACATCCCGTTCTACGTGTACGTCAGTCTTGGTGAGTTCTCGTGTATATCGCCCATTCCTACCTTGAGTATGCGTAGCTGGGGAGGCAACTATCAAGCGAGTCGACGTTGCTGGATCCGTGCGCTCGATAAGCGTGTGCAGCATGCCTAAGATCAAGCCGTCTGGGCAGCGCGTCAGCGTACATTTTGGCAATGATAGTGCATGCAGACTTACTCTGACTCTGAAGTGCGGCGCTCATGCTTTGCGATATGGGTTGGACAGAGTTAAGGTCTTGAACGACCATCGAGATTGAAGCTTTGACTGGTGCACATTCAGGATGGTACGCGATAGCGGAGGGGTTGGCTCACCTTCCTGCATCTCCGATGATAGATGATGTACGTCGGAAACCAGTTCGGCTATGGCCATTCTTTCCTCGTCAGTCGTCACATCCTCGAGCGTCCGCATCGCATCCTCCAGGTCATCCGATGTAGAGAAGAGCGCGTCCAGGAAGTGTCCTGGTGACAGATCAATGAGTGACCAAGAGCACGAAGTTTGCATAGAAAAGAACGCACGAATACGACCCTTCCGTAGCATTTTGGTTGCGAGCTCGAACGCCTTGAGCATTTCTACTAGCGCTCTCACGGCTATCTCGCTCGACTGTGACTTCAGAGGTACCCGGATTCGAACTTGCAGGCGCTCAATGTACACTCGGAAGCGCTCGAATAACTTCTCGAGGTTCTCGTAGGTCGCACTCACTCGATCAGCAGCCTGTTATGACGGTCAGATGACGTTCCAAATATGGCGGCCAACGTCGACGCACTTTCAGCAGAACAGCTACAGCCGCGAAGATGCCTTTCCCTCCAGGCGCGCCCTGTCCATTCCGAGTTAGTGCACTGTTAAAGGCGCTTGTGACGGATGCTCACCAGCGACGATGCAATTTCAGCGGCTGCGTCAAGCAGAACAACGAGCCCTCCGATGATGGGTTTCAGGTTCTCCTTGAAACGACGCGCCGCTTTGTTTACTCGCCGCCTGCCCCTCAGATGCGCCGAAGCCGCCTCAAGCTTGTCCAGAACGATTTCGCTGGTCACTGGCCCCTCAAGCCTCAGAAACCACGCAACGGTCTCATCGTGGGCCTCAACGCCGAGGGAACCTCGATACTGCTCGAAAGCAATGTCCCAAAGCTCGTTCATTGGCCAGAGTTGTTGGAGAGTTTATGGACCGATGCTCGGTGGCTACCTTTGAAGAGATAGTGGTGGATGGTCTGCGCAAGGACATAGCGGGGAAGCGGTGTGCTGTGCGAGCTCTTAAGAACACAGCGCTCGAGTACTTGGAACACGGATAGTCGCGTGCGCGCCAATGCTTTTCTTCACTGAGGACCCAGTGCAGCTCAGCTGACTACTGTCGTGCGACAGGAGGACAGCATCTACACTCAGCGTACTGGCGAGAGTTCATGACCCGATGTAATTCATGGAAGCATGGTGGTCGTCCTTGGTCGTCCAGTCGAGCGTTCGCTCATTCACGTTTGGGGCAGCCGTGTGAATATTCGGGCCCTCGGCGCTGCCGCCCGAGTCGCGCTTTGGCGCGCGGCGAGCGATTGCAGACGCGACGCACTCCGCGCGCCCACGACGGTTGTTCTGTCCTACGAGCAAGATCAGTCGAGGATTAGGACGAGGATAAAGACGAAGACCAATGCGCCTCGCAACCGCTTGAAAGTTCGCTTCCTCGGTGCCGGCTACCGTATGTACGGCAACCCGCCTGCGACAGCGACGAGCGCGAACAGGTCCGCGCCGCCGACTGCTCCGCTTGCTCTACGCAATTCAGCTACAATAATTCGCCACTCGCCTTGTGCGGATACTTGGAAGGGGTGGTGTGAAGCATCTATAGACCTGGTAGCGAGACCCGCGGGTTGACAAAGGTACGTCCATACTCCCAATCCGCATCTCCTGTTCATCATATCTGACTACTACCTCCAGCCAAAGCCTCCACGCAAGTCGCGTGCAAGGGCTACCGCCTCGAACGTCGCCTCATTTATCTCACCCAGCGAAGCGATGTCCCTGCGCGCGCTATCTTTACGTGCCGTATCGGAGAACGCCCCTGCAAGCTCAACCGGATCAGTAGCCCAACTTATCGACGTCGACGCCGCCCCTCTCCTCTCGCAAGAAGAATTACATAACCAAGCAAAGGTCGGAGCCGCCCACAGCTGGAGCTTCGTCAAAGGGAAGAACACCCGTACGCGCAACCAAGATGCGCTCCCAAAGCCCTCTGCGATGCGGCCGCGACCCAAGCTGGGCACGCTATACGAGTTGGCGACGCGCCCCGCGCACTCCGGCGCCGGGTTAACGGTCACCGCTAGCACAGCGCAAAACATCCGTTCGGCCTCACCCGACGATGACGATTCACCGACATCTGTGAACCATGCGCTTACCGCCGCAGAGGTCGAGAGCGAAGCCCCGGAATACAACGCGTGTAGGAGTTGCTCCTTCTGGATTTCTCTTCACATGATTTCGGAGGGCTCCAAGACGCCTCTTGATCGTTACCTGTAATTCAACGGCGGTCATACAGTGCTACGCTCATATGCACTGAGGCTCGGGTCGTCGTGAGTACCTTTCCAATATCAGGAGTTTCTCAACTGACAAATATGTCTTAGAGCGTCAGTGTACATCGTACGCATGTCAAGAATCTTGATAGTTTAAGTAGTCCACATATAAAACATTATTCACGGAGTAGTTTCCGTTCACCATTAGTGTGACCATGTGCGGTGTGCTTCACAGCCGATGAAGACTTAAGCGCGTTCGACGCCGTTCCAGACATACCGGCCTTGAGCAGAGCCTCATCCTGTGCTAGGTGTAAGACGGTCAAATCTGCGGGGGCCAGCCCGTTAGCACGCACCTCCAACGAAATTTCAACCTCGATAACTTGACCGAGCCTTATATCTACGGGGGATGGCGCAGGAATCTGTCCTTTGAGCTTCCTCCATCGCGCCTTGCAGATGTCTTCGACCCTGACCTTGATATTGTCTGGTACTTCGATGATTGTCGTCAGCGATGCAGTAAGGTAAAGTGTCGAACATAACGCGTACGTGGCTTACTGCTCAAGCTGCCCCAAGAACGCACTACCCAGAGCACATCCGCGGTGTCATAGTACTCGGAATCGTCGCTGCCGTCCGAGATATCCGACTCGGCGTCAGAGGGGTAGATCCTATCGACGTTGAAATGGTCCGGATGATTCTCCATGACCGTTCTGGGCAGCCAGGGCTTGAGCCTCTGCAAATATTGCTGTTGGCCTAAGGCCACCATCTTCTCGACCTTACGATCGTATCCCTCCTGGTCAAAGACAACGGTAGTGGCCTGAACGAAGACGTAGTCTCGTGAGGTCGTTGTAGTGACGAAAAGCCCCTTGGTCCCCGGTCTAGATAAGAGGTAGTCGTTGAATGCGCGCAAGGCGCCTTTCGTCTCGCGCTCCGGCACGTCGTGGCATACACAGATAACCTCGAGTTGCTCTGGTGTTATGAGGAATCCTGAGATGAGGATGGCACCTTTGAGCGCGACGCGGCGAGGCTGAACGGAGGATATATGGCGTGTTGAGTCCATGTCGACGGCAGAGAGTGCGGATTAGTTTCTAGATATCGGGAGGGTGAAAGGTCAGCGGCGATGGGCTTTTGCGTGTGTACAACGTGTGCGAGGATTCCCGAAGTCGGGAGCTTCGAGAGCTCACGCCAAGCAGGCGATTAGTCCTACGTTGAGATCGTCGGGTACCCGTGTCATGATTGCCAGCAAGAGCGCATGAATGAGGACGAGGGGAGGCGCCGTCCAAAAAGCGAACACAGACAAAGTTGTATCATAGTATTATACATAGCAGAAGGTTCCGATAGCGTAAAGTACTTACTTATGGGGACATGGCCGTTGTGACGTCGAGGCCAAAGGCGAAGACCACTGGCAGGCCCATCAGCGCATCAGCGCGGGTCACAGTCACAGAGGTGCAGGCGAGCGCGTCTGGGCGTCGCAACAGTGCTCTACTGGTACCACCATGGCTGCAACTCAATAGTACCTCCCCGAACTACCTTGACCATACTGCACTCCGAGCATTCGGTGTGCTTCCTGTCGCCGTGCGGATGTATCATGACAGTGACTGAACCCGCTTTAAGCTCAAGCCGCTTTCCGAGCGCGTTGTGAACGGACCACTCGCACATCCTCCCCCACTTCAATTCGCATTCACATACGCGGGGACTCTATCACTTGAGCTCCTCACGCACTCCTCGGGGATGCTGATGCCCATGATCATATTCCTATCACTGCTCACAGCAACAGACGAGCGTCTTCCTCCTCCCCTTACTGACGGCATGTGTGTGACTCAACTAGTGCTCCGAGCTCTGAGGCGTGCGTTCTGGTCAATGCAGAACAAGGGATCTGTCGTACACGACAGTTGGACGCGGCGAAGATGCGCATAGATAAGATAAGTCCGTTTTCCCGCGGAACGACACAGTAATAATACACAGATGATGGACGTGAAGCTAATTCGCCTTGCATATAGCACCGCGCCATGGCACAGGCTCGAATAAATATCATCTCGACCCTCGATGCGCAAGTCGAACAACCGCTCCCAGCTCCTGAGCTCCCTATAGGACAAGATTAGGTGAGAACACTTTTGCGAGGTTCGTTGGACGCACTCCATTGACCCATTCGTCTTCAACAGTTCATGGGCCTGGGAACAACATTTGAGCTCAGGACTTTCACTGCCGCTTTTCTACTCGGTTTCATCCTCATGATAGCCCTCAAGCCGAAGTTCGTCATCCTATAAACTCATCAGCACGATTTTGCTTAACCCATGACGTGTGCTAGCACATCACTCACAGTCCTCGACATGTCCGCAAAAAACAATTCGAACCCCGGAATATTTTTCACAAAACTCGGCTCCTGTCCAGAGCTCTCAGCTTGTCTCCAGCGGCGCCTGCAAATTGCTTCTAATTTCTCGTGGACGAGAAGCGGAGCTGTACAGGTCCTGTGATTAGCGCTCGCGAATGAAACATGGCATCATTGTACTGACGCGCATACTGCTCATGGAAGCTTGGCCACGGTATACCGACCCACGCGATAGGCATTCGCGTGACTCCATCATCGCTAGCGTTCTGGAAGCGTTGAGGATGTAACCCGACGAGCTCGGGGACGAAGATGTTGTTCCAGTGCCCCCGGACGTCACTTGGGTGCAGAAGGACGCTCTGGTACGCCGTATCGCACTCGTTCTTATCGAATGCTGCGTCGACCTCGTGTATGATCATGTAAAGCGGCTGCGGTTCTCTATAAGCGCCCTTGAGCCCCTTGAATCGCTCCTGGAAATCAGCAATCGAGCGGTCGGCGACAGAGAGGGACCCGTCAAACGCGCAGACGTGCAGTGGAAGCTTCTTTTCCACGAAGAGGTCATTTACAACCTTCGTGACGTTGCCTTCGTAGATATCGGTAGGAATGTCCTGGCTATAGCACAGCAGCTCGAGCTGACTCTCCGGGACGAGCAAGCCGCCCACGTAAGGCTTCAAGGTGAATTCCTTGTAGTTGGGGTTGACGAGTGAGGAAGTCATGATGCTGAGGATACAACGGGGTGGTGCCGGTGCCGTTAAAAGCACGTCGGATCGCGCTCTTTCAATTGGGGCTGTACACTGCAACGCCTGATTCGCGTTTCTCACTTTGTCATTACATACAACATCCTTCAAGCGGCTCTGCTATTCCTGCCGGTGTTTACGTTTGACCTTGACCATCTGCGGCTTCGGGATGTCTGTAGATTTACATCAGTGGTGGTACTCCGGTTCGAATACACAACGTTTCATCACTCACCCACGTCGAATATGGCCGTGAAAGGGTACCCATAGAGTGAATCCGACTCGTCGGTGGCGTCAGCTATGGGCGCTGAGGCGGATTTGTTCTCCAGGGCTCTCTTT